ATTGTCATACACACTATCTTGTGCATGACTGTTAAGTAACAAAAAAAACGTGACGAATTTGTTTTGTGTATCAAAGCTTCTCATATTTCTATTTTCTAATTTAAGATAACGTGTCAGGTAACTTTTTTTTTCTATTTTCATCATCACTACTTCCACAGAATTATCCTTCATAGTCAGCGGAAATTATGAAAAAAGTCATTACTATATTGAGCATATAAGACATGAACATATGATAAAACAAAGAAGCAGTTAATGGTCGCATCAGAACTATTCTTAAAGAAAACGATGGAATATAACGTAACGAGTATTTCATCCACAGCGTTTACAATTAATACTGTCTCACGTTGGCTAAACTATGTACTAGCTATACCAATGATAATATTAGGAATTCTTGGATCAATATTAACTATCCTAGTTTTTACGAGACAAAGTTCATTTCAACGTAATCCAACCATTATTTATTTACTCGCTGGTGCCATCATGACAGCAATACATCTGCCAACAATCTATTTACAGAGTATACTTGTTGATGGTTTCGGTTTAGGTATATTTAATACTAATGATCTTGCATGTCGAGAACATAATTATTTACTATATGCTACAACTGTTGCTGCTATTTCATTTCCTTGTTGGGCAGCATTTGATCAATATGCAAGTACATGTCGTGAAGCAAGTTTTCGAAATCGATGGAGTTCAATACGAGTAGTTCGAGCAGCTATCACCGGTACTATAATCTTTTGGACAATAGTTTATTTGCCAATGATTTTTTTCAGTGGTATCGATCATAATATTTGTGTATTAACAAATATTTACTATAGAAATTTGAATGATTTTATTGTAACACCTCTAGTTTATACGATCGGTCCACTGACATTTATTATAATATTTACAAGAAGAACTATACAAAATCTTCGCGCGGTTACTTTGACAAATCGTCGTGATCATTTAACGAAACAAATTCGTCATATGCTTATCCCTCAATTGATTATACTTGCTCTGTCCGGAGTACCATTTGGTTTACAAAACATATATTTTAATCTCACTAATGATGTATACAAAGATAGTCTTCGACAAGCTATCGAACATTTATTCGTTCAAATAATTCGTTTATTTTATCATTTTAATTTTGTTTTTACATTCTATATTTATTTATACATGTCAAGTGAAGTAAGAAAAGTACTACGACGAATAACTACTAGTTCACGTAAAAAAAGTATTGAAGGTTCAAATACAGATTCTATTGTATTACAAACATTGACGTGTGACAATACTTCTCGAGATCGTTTGTTTTGATTATCTATTTTTTTTTTGTATTTGTTATGGATATAAAACTGCGTAGTTACTATTAACTGTTGTCTATGTCAAAATTCATTTGCGTACATGTATTATTCCAGCAAATAACTATTTGTTAAGCTTGTTACTTTTTTCTCCGCAGAAAAAGTATAAAATTATTATCAGTTATATCTCGTTAGATATTATTAACACGTCAAAGAATTTCTTTTCTTTCATGTCATTAGTAAAATGATGCAAAAATCCATTTCTTTTATACTCAATGACAGTAGTAAATAACAATCGTTAATACCGGATATAGCTTATTTAAAAAGATGATGTTCCTAACAGGAGAGGATGAACGAGTGGAAAGGAAATAAAAGAAAGAAAAAGACGTATGTTTTTCATCAGGTGTGTCGTATATGTACCCATGAGATCACGCCATACGTTGAACAATAATATATGTACCGACCGATTATCATGTCATGCGTAGATATACAATAACAAGTTTGTCAAAAGAGTATCACACTATATAACAAATAAGATAATAAAAGAGCCATCGAGGTTATGGATGGATGTGAGATAAACATATCAACCGTATTCACACGCACACTTATTCCTCAAGATTTATGGAGAAATTTTTGCGCATAAATAAAGATAATTACTTTTTCATTCTTCATAATATATTGAATAATCTTAAAATTAATTTTTGTAATATTAAGTATTATTTGATTAACATTAATATTGTGCTCAATATCATCAAGAGTTTCTTTAATTTTTTTATTTAAATAATACATCACATTAGTTCCATTATATTCAATTGAACATGATCACATTCTCATATTCAGTTTTCAATGAAATTCCTCAAAAAAATGAACAAATGATAACTACGATGGTTTCATTATTTGATATAATATTTTATTAAATAAAAATATTGTCGTATATCTTATAGATTGATTGTTTAAGTCGTCTTTATTTATTTGTAGAAGCACAAAAACTACTCAACGATTATGAAAAATCGAATCCGCCTTCTTCAATTATGTATTGTAATGTGTTTTCAAAATTTTCTTTTTTTACTTTCATTGTTGATTTTAGTGGTAACTTTATCTAGAACACGTAATTCTCATCAACACAAATATATAATCGAATGAAAATATTATTTCCAGATCAAAAAAATAGTTTAATATCTGATTCTATTCTTCTTTCGAATATACGATTAGATCGAATAAAACAATTCGGAACAAAAATTAAATCAGGAATATCATTGACTGAAGTCAAAGGTGAATTAGTTGTAAGAACATTTTCGAATTAATAATTTAATTCGATAGAAAAAAAGAATTCGTTCATGTTATTCTCTTTCAGGACTTCGAAGTTAATGATCGTTCTCATCCTCGATCTAAAGGAATTCATGCACAATCTAAACATATCCCTGATACATTAACTAAATATGGATACAAGTATGATCCTAGTTGGGTAAATCGTCCATTACGTAACGATGAAACTATCGAAACAGCGTTATCTGGTCATAGTGAACGGCTTGCAATAGCCTATCATTTCATTCAACAAAAAAAACATCATTTTTTCAAATCACAAACAATCTTCGTATGTGTGGTGATTGTCGTAAGTTATTATATAAATTAAAAAATTGGAAGTACTTCAAGAAAATACGAAAACTTATGCGATCATATTTCTCGATACATCACTCTCTTTAATAATTGTAACATAAAAGAATAAACAAATGAAAATAAAAAAAACATCGAAAGTTAAAGAAGATTAATTAACGAAACTCAGAGATTATTCATCTTTTGTTTCTGATTGAACTATCACCTCTATTTGAATAAATACTGATTTGTAGTATTTTTTCCAGAATGATTGACGTCTTGATAAATAAATTATTAATGACAGCATGTTGTTGATTTATCAAACAAGACAGAAAATATCGAAACAACAACAGTAAAAGGATCTAAACTTCCATTGCGTGTAAATATGAATGAATTCACCGTTATTCGAACTACCAAGTACGATCTTGTATAAACAACTTTAACAAGATATTCGTGAAATTGATGAAAGTACAATATCAATCACTTAATTCAATTTTGTCGAAAACAGTTATGTTGATATTATATGAAAATTGAAAGCGTGAGTTTGAATGTGAGTATTCTGTTTCATTCGCACTCATACTCTCAGTATGGCTCATAATTTTTGTGCTTTATACTATTAATGAACAAGTTCGTCAACAAAACAAACAAATAAAAAAAAATGGAAGGTAATGCTATATTACATTCTTGTTTTCATCCTGTTAATTATTTTCTTTGAATTAAATCGTTATTGTTTTTTCTTCTTTTTCATATGTGGTATAATAGATGCCAATTTTATCTATGATAGTAGACTTTGAAGTTTGTTGCTCATTCTCTTGTATCTTTATCGGAGAGGAAAACCAAGAGCACAAAAACAAGTTGAGATGAGTAGTGAATATAACGCACGAGTAAAGTTACCCATATATGTGCATTAGGGAAGAAAGAAAAGAAAAAAAACGAGATAGACAACTGGCAGACTATTATCTATTGGCCTTTGACTATAAAAGCATTGTAAATTAACATGATTATTTGATGATCAGATGCAACAGAACAATAATTTATCGCCATAAGTGTTTTTTCTATTTGTCGACAAAAGTGTGTATGTAGACAGCGCAATGAACTATTTTTCTTTTCTTATGACAATCATCGCTTCTATTGTGTATGTTGTCAGTAGAAGTGTAAGCCGTCGGCTTCAGCAAAAATCGGCTGACGATTTATACCTCTAGTTGTCAGCTACTGACTATTTGTCGGTGACAATCGTTTATTTGCGTCTCATATTTTACATTCTACGATATTGTTCAAGTTTTTGAAAATAAAAATTAAAATAGCATTATTTCATTATTAATTTCTTATGTCTTCAAAATCGCCAAGGTTTGGGCGATGAATCGTATTTTTCCGGAAAATAATCGTCAATCAAATCGCGATTAAATCGTCGATTTTTCCCCTGATTTTGATAACATGGGTTGTACACATTCACGCAAAAGTAAATATCTAGTTGTAAAAATGCCGTCAAAATTTGAACAATTACCGATCGAAATAGTATTGATTATCTTTCAATATCTTGAAGCTCATGATCTCGTTAATGGTTTCGGATGTCTCAACTCCTACTTTCGTTCAATTCTGGTCTCACCTCATCTTCGTGTACATGTGAATATAGATACAAATGATATGGGCCCACAATTACAGTCAAATTCTATCTGGTCTCTACTGACATTCGAAAGCATTTATTCTTTGAAAACACAAGATATTATCCGCGATGTACTTGTTCAGTTTGTCCTGGATCATGCGAATCGTCTTATTCACCTCACACATCTTACGCTTCATATAGAAAACGAGCATTTCGAGCAAATCCAACATACTCTTCCGTACTTAATCGACATCAAATACTTGTCTATCAAGAAACTATCACGGAATGATGAACATTCACTTCTTTCGGTTATTCTCGGAATGAAAAATCTTCGAGTTTACATAACGAACGAATGCTTACCAAAAAAAGCCGAGGAAAATCTCATGATTAGCAATTCTATGGAAAAACTCTACATTAGCTGTGGTGCATCCATCTCACATGTCTTTCTTCTTCTTGATCATATGCCTAATCTACGCGTATTCCAGCTTTACAACTTGAGTTGGTATGAATGCTTTTCATATCCTCATGATAGTTTTATCCATAGAGAACTAGCAGTATTCAAAAGCTGACAGTTGGGTGGCAGACTATGTCAAGTTCGAAGAACTGATTCATGCTGCACCATCTCTTCGTTATGTGCACGTATCACAATGGAACATGTTCAATGATATGCGACACATCTTATTTAATCCAAATTTACTTAAAAGATTACTCGAACACATTGCACACGTTCAAATCAATGTTGCATTATTTATTTCAGAAGACATAAGTGATGAGGTACGCACATACCTCGAAACATGTTCTTGGCTGACGTTGAGAGATATTTTCTACAACTGTTTAGATGCTGAAACAATTTTTGATCTAGTTTTCGAGCAGGTCAAACTATCTGAATCTTGTTTCTGATGAGAAAAAAATGAAATATTGCAAAGTATCTGACAATACACCCACCCTCAGAACATGCTTTATTTAAACAAAACTTCATAATAAGCATAAGGATGTGGACGAAATAGAATATCCACGTTCACATCTTCAACAAATTACTCCAGCATCACTTGACAGCAACATCTCCAACCCTGCTTTACGACTTCTCTCACAATATCGTTCCTGACGATGTATTCCAGATAAGAACATGAAAGCTTGAATCTGCTTTTTTTAATTCAGAACTAGAGAACACAGTATTTTTACAATTATTTCATGTTCTATTACTTTTAAAATGTTTTGTCACACGTTTCAGTACTTGATAATCAACAGAAAGATGAAGTTGAGAAATATGTGGATAGTTAATAATTGGCAAATGTTCATTATTATCATTTAATTTTCCATCATCAATCGTAAGGACATAAATAAATATGACATCGACCTTACTTCATCTCGGAAAAATAATCAACACAAGAAATAGCAAGATATAAATGAAATTTTCTAAGTTGATTATTTGATGTAAAAACGTAATGAAAAGCATTTCAAAGGATTTCATTTGAATAAATTCTATTCTGATGGAAACTGCGAAGAACAATGAATCCAAGAAATCGTAGTTACCCACAATCTAACCTTCTCTCACTCTTTTATAAATAGTATTTTTATTATTTTCGAAGTAAATAACTATATTGAATCATAAAGTTGTAAACAGAACAAAATATGAAATGGCGCTTATTATCATTTAACAATAATGCATAATAGTAAAAATGATGAACGACGATCATTCAATGTTCTTGGTAAACTATTTCATGTATGTGATATTTCGTTTTTGTTCTTTTTTGATGATCATTTTTTTATTGAAAAAAAAGGTTCGTATCGATGATCTTGTTCAGTATCCAAATACACTTTTAGCAGATAGTCAACGTCTTCAAGCATACTGGCGTCCTAGTCTAAATGCATATTTTCTATCACGTGATGTTCATATGTTTGAACGTATCATTTTACCTTTCTATACTTCTTCTAAATCATCCAATAAAATAAAACGTTTATCAACAATGTCATTTTCTGACAAACTTTTTCGAGAAGAATTAGAATTTTATAATCTTTTAGAATATTATCAGGTATGTTTAATAAAAACAATAGTCATTAACCTTTTATTTTATTATAGACAGATGATAATTTAAATTTCATATTTGAATATTATACACAATCATCTTCAGTTATTTCTCTCCTATCTCGTTTGCTTATTAGGAAATGTATTTGTTGGTGTATAATCGATTGTGTATCATCTATTGCTTGTGCAATAGGAATATGTGAAATAGTTCTATGGCTATGTCATTATCAACGTTCAATAAATCTACTTATTGTAGATATAATTATTAGTCTAATACTATTATGGACTCTATTTTATGAGCAATATTCTGATAGAATATTACTTGAAATTAATTTTTATATGCGTAATAAATTTGATGAAGAAGTGAAAAATCAAATTCGACGAAAAACATCAATGACTGAACGATTTATCATAATTGGTTCGTTTCAAAGTCCTGTTTTTATTATTCAACTTATTTTTGCTTCTTTATCTTTTATTATTACTTTATTATCTTACAAACGTAAAAGTCTGTAAATGAAAAAATAATCATTTAACAATAATCAATTATTTATTTTTGTTTCTTAGATACATGGTATTTTATTCTGGGATTAGCATTTCGTCATTTACTTCTTATACGTTTATGTTTAGCAGAAATGTGTCATATAATTGATATTCTTTCTTATAGTGGACGTTCATCATTTCGTGTTTGTTCTCATCTTCTTTTATTTTTAGTTACTATATTATTCATATGTATTTGGATTGGACTTACACTATATGTAACAGATTCAAATTCAACAATCGATCAACCAGTAATTCTAGCTCCATCACGTTATGTTTATTTCGTTTATCATATTATATTGAATGTTGGATATGGAGATACAACAGAAAGATCAATTCTATCCTTTATTCTTATCGTTGTGTTGACCCTTATTACTTGTCCTCTTTTAATCATTATCTATCAAAATTTCATACAAGAATTAAATCTAGTAATAACAAAAATGATTCATGTTGAAACATTTCATCATACATCTTTTATCAAATATTTAATAACACAAATAAATAGATATCAACATCGAATGATCCATTAAGTGAAGTTTATTTGGATGAAAATTTAAGAAGACAATTTAGGAAATATAAATAATAGATTTGGAAATATTTACTTTCATTTACAAAAATTAAACAAGTCACTATCAAAAACAATATAGATTAAAATAAAATTTTTATCGTTTGTCTACAACTTCACGTTTAAGTTTAGCCATCATTGCTCGTCGTTTATTTAATTCATCATCATTTATTTGTGTTTTTTGTTCTTCTTGTTTAGTTTCATTCGCTGTAGCCATAGCTTTACGTGCAGCATGTGCAGCCGATTGTGGTCGAACATTCGTTGTTTGTTGTTCTAATTCTTTTTCACGTTCAGCACGTTTTTCATCCACAATTTTTTGACGTATATCTTTAAGAAATTTTTGTCGTGCTTTCATCGCAGCAGTTGTTTCATTATCCTCAGTTGGTATTGTACGTTCAGTTAAATCACGTAATTTTTGACGAAGTACATTTTCAGGAATAGCGCCAATTGTTTGAGGTGTAGATGCATTATTTGATTCATCATTTTCTATCGAATCATTATAATTATTTTCCTACAAACAAGAGAAATTATATTTTAAAAATAAACAATTCATTTTTTCGAATAAACCTTTGAAGTTTTTCGTTGAAGATCTCTATGCCATTCAGCATCAAGATCTGCGCCACCTTTTCGTCGTAAATCAGGTAAACGATATTCTTCTTTAGGAGGTTTTCTTGGTTCTGTTTGTTCTTTAGTCTTACGCGATGATGATGATGCTGATGATGGTTCTGGTTTTCGTGGTACAACAACAACGTCGTCGTCATCATCATCATCATTATTATCATTTTGATACTTCTTGTCTTCTTTTTCATATGATTGTTGTTTTATAATCGGTACTTTAATTGGTTCCGATGGTGAATGAAGTGATCCACGTCTTGATGATGATGATGTTGCTTGCATTAAGAGTGAAAGAATGAGATCATCTCTACTATCACCATGTCTCAGCAAACCCCATTGTAATTGTAAACTAACAAGTGCTTGTAATTGAAGAATTAAATTTTTTCTCTTCATCATATCTTGAAATAATTGAAAATCTTTTGCAGAATATAATTGTTCATAGGATTCGTCAGCAAGTACTGAATCATCAAGAGGTACAGGTATTTGACATGCTCGTATTAGTTCATTTTCATCTAAACTAAGATCTTTACCAAGACCATTAATTAATGAATCAACAAGACGTATATATTGCTGATAAATAGTTCTTTGTTCGTCTGCTAATGATAGTCCTGTACCATCTTCATCTGTATCATCATCATTATCATCATAGTCAAAAGTAACACAATTTGCTTCAATAAATGTTTGAATAGGTGCAGCCCATATTGGTGAATGAATAAAATCACCAACAGTATCTACAATCCAATTATTATCCAAAGCCATTTGAAATAAATGCTTATCGTGAATATTCTATTATGCTTTATCTTTTCATAGATTATATTACATTATACTTACGCACGCAATTTGAACTACCATCGGACATGAAAATGAGTTGGAAACAGCCTTCGTTATTCAATGTAACAATTAAATTATCTATGATATTGAAAAAATTTAAATATATAGAAAAAGATTTTTATAAAAGAATTAACTTGTAAAACGAAATATATATATATTAATCGTACATGTTTGTTAGCGCCCTCTTTAGAGATATATATGACCGAGATTCTTCTAGTTCGAAACTGTATTTGATAGTTGTTTGAAAAATATTCAAAGAAACGTTTATATAATTAGAATACGAAATGATATCACAAAACGCATTTGTCCAATTAGATTGATAGTTTCAGTTTCGGCACATTCTTACATTCCCGTATCAGAAAATCGATTGAAATGAATAAAAAGGATTTCTTTTTCTCTTGTTTTATAGACTAGACATCATTTTATAATTTTTAACTTTAAATCATGTTGCCTAAAATTCGTCGTGTTTCATCCATTTTACGTAATAATAACAAGTCAATTCAATCAACTGAACGTTTGAGTAATAAAAGTAGTAGTTCAAGTAGTAAAAGTACCGATGATGGACATAATGGTAACTTCTATTGATTAAATTATACTAATTATTATTTATTAATTAATAGTTTATATTGAAACCTTATTATATATTGTACATGTTGATGATATTGATTTACCAATATCAACAACGGATGAAATAACAGAAGAAATGTATGATGGTGGTGATGAACAACAATTAAATTCATCAAATAAATTAATAAGACGTATGTCTAAACGAACAACAGCAAGTTTTAATGAACGTCATCAAACATCCAACGCACCAATATATGCACGACCTTCTTTTTCCTTTTCTAATCCATTACGACGTCTTAATAGTAATAGAAATTATTATAGTTTGTATTTATATTTATTTTACTTTTAGGTATACTTAAACCAACTGATAAAGGAATACAAAGTCAATCAACACCAAAACAGACAGCTAAGCGATCATCATCTTTTACTAGTCATTCTCGTTTACAAAGCCAAAATAATAACAATAATGATCCAGAACAACCATTTCCACCACCTCCACCATCACTTCTTTATGATAATCCAATCTCATGTACAGAACAACAAACAATTATTCGAGCTCATGGTCCAGGTCTTACCGATGGTTTTATCAATGATAATTGTTCGTATTTATCTTGTCTTTTTTAAGTGTATTGAAACTGTTTGACAATTTTAGGTCATTTCGATTTGAATGCACCTAATACTGAATTACAAAAACTTGTTATTGCAATTGATGGTCCATCAAAAGCTGATATTCAAATTGAAGTTATTGATACAGATATTTATCGAGTATTTTATACATGTGAAACATCTGGTAAGAAAAAAAGCTTGACTAATCATATCTTTTTCTTTTTTAATCAAGGTAATTACCATATATCATTAACATATGATGGTGAACATATCAACAATTCACCTTATCATTTATGTTTACGTGCTCAATCATTACAAGAACAAGTCGTTCCACCTACTCTTCCACCTCCTATCAATCCACCTCGTGCTATAATTCAACCTATTGAATTTTATGTATATTCATCTTTTTCTTTATTTTAATAATTAGTTTTGTTATTGATATATAATCCTAGGTCAATACTCCATGTATAGTTACTGTTCGTCCAACTGTAACTTGTGCTGTTTTTCAAGCATATATACAAGCACCTCAAGGAAATATCAATTTACCAATTACTGTTCATAAATCAGCAAAATCAGGTTAATCATTAGAAAGATTTTATTA